GGTTCAGCTGCCTGATCTGTTGCTGTCACGGTGATAGGATATTCCCTCTGTTTTTCTCGATCAAATACCTGAACAGTTGTCAGGACTCCTGAAAACAAATTAAAGGCCAAAGAGTTAAAATACCATGTATTTGACAACACTGTGCATTCAGAGGTTTATTTGACTGTTCATACTTTGAGCTACAATGTAATAGGTTAAATACACCTATAATGCAGATTTTAAGTGCAGAGTTACAATCACAAAGTTTCAGCATCTTAAACTGTGCTGCTAAGACAGATAAAAAAGTTATATATACTTACATCTTTGCGAAACTGGACTTTATTTTAGAAAACAGACATAAGTACCAAACTGATTTTAAAAGAATAAGCTTATAAAATTATTTTTTCTTCTGAAGCAATGCAAGTACAATGAAAGGTATGTTTCATATCTTTTATCCTCTAAAAGCTCAGCCTAAACTTATAGTTTTGGCCTTCCTTACACGCAGTCTCTTTGTAGTCTACTGCTTGGATAAGTTATTTATATGTCATTAGCAATGTTGCAAGATAGCACGCACATAACATCTAAATATTTTTTAATCTACTTATAAAATCACAGTTATTTCACACAATTACTTCCAAATTTCAGGACAAACATCATTTCTAGGTAAGACCGGACATGTATGAAATATTCTTATATTTGTTCACGCAGTTAAAAACGCTTGTATTTTGTTTGCTTTCGAGATACTCCATCAAAAGTGCAAAGTTTGATTTTATTTAAGCTTCCATCAGTGTAACAAAGTGGTTTATATTGTGTTGTTATCAGTTATGATATTCACTTTACCTGTGTCAGGATGAATACTAAATGCTGGTAGGACACCATCTCTGTGCATCAAGCCATATTTCACTACACCATTGGCTCCTTCATCACCATCAGTGGCTTCAACCTGCAGTACAACTGTTCCTGAAGGCTGGTTTTCCAAAACTGAAGCACGTTCCCGATAATACTGACACTAAGGAAGAAAGAAAGCAAAAAAAAAAAAAAAAAACCCTGTGCCATTTGATTTAAATATATACTAGAGTAAAAAATATTTAGTTACACTTTATTCGGATGCAGTGAAGTTAATGTCTATTTGTACCATGATTAATTTACAGACTTCACTTACTGTTCTGTGATTATATGAACTAAATGCAATCTGAGGCCCTTCAATATTTCCAACTGACAAAAACATCCGGACAAAATGTTACAGTTGCAAATGCTTCCAAATGCAAATATTCTTCTGTATTAGCAAAAACCTTACATAAAGAGGGCATGCAGTTGCCCACAGTTTTTCAATGTCACAGAATTGCTTTGGTCAAAAAGAGATTTCTATACAAAGTAACTTTGCCAAGGACAAGCTAATGATATTTGCAAGACTGACATGAACCGTCACGAACATTTCAAAACATGCAACAGTGCCAATCAACTTTTCTGCCATCAGCATCAAACTCAAAATGTTTAGACAAGAGATCTTCAATATGAACCAACATTCTGAAAACATATGCAAGTATTTTTTTTTTAAGCTGTTATAATTTAAGCCAAAATCACTTCACTCTTTTCTTTCCTCAGTCCTAGTCAATCAACCATCAAAGGAAGCCTTATGTACTTGAGAGAGGAATTTTGGAATATTCTAACAAGTCCACTGGATAAAGGATGTTACCCATCTATTTTCTCAGCTTCAATCATATTGAACCTTCAAATGTTATTCACTCATCCTTATCTTCTAAAATGTCAGAAGTGAGATGCGGTTCAGAGCAGTGACAGCACTCACAGGAGCTGCTCTGCTTCAAGAAGAGAGCAGCAAACCACCCAGGGATCAGGAGAAGGGTGTGAAACATGGAAAATGACAGTGGCAGCAAGACTGAGAAGAAAGTGGAGGACATCACTTCTTGAATAGTTTATCTGCTACATCGCTTGCTGTGAAAGTCTTAAATATTCACCAGTCTGATTAATACTTATATATTTATATATATATATACGTCACTTAGCATAATAAATACGTTACCTTCTGAAAGACAGGTTTGTTATTATTGACGTCATCAATTTTCACAATAACCTGAGCAGTACTTGTAAGAGAATGGGGCCCTCCAGAGGCATTATCATCAGCAGCTGTGACATTAAGAACATACTCTGTCCCCTGCAGCTTAGGAAAGGGACTTGAACGAAGGCTGACTAGCCCTGTAAAAACAATAGGTTGTGTTTTTATTTTTTATTGTATTAACTAATAACCGTTATCCTTCTTACCAGCAAGCATCACAGCACCATTCTGGTTTAACCATTCAGCAGTAAACCATAAGGCTACAGTTTAATTTAACTTAAGTAGTGTTACTGCATCATGATATTAAAACAAGAGGCAACACAACAACAGGTTTGTCTGCAGGTATGTCTGCAAAGCCAAATGAGACAGTGGCTACAGCTCAGCTGATGTGCACATTAACTTTAGTGTAGCTACTTCAGGGAGAAAAAAAAACACAACTCAAAAAAAAAAAACAAAACAAACAAAGAAAACAAAGAAACATTGTGGCAAACTTCTGTTTAACCTGTACTAGCCCCACCAGGGAGCCTGGGTATGTTCTTCTATTGTTATTGCAATGAAGCATGTGTCACCATGCCCTCTTTGCTGCATGATAGTTCAACTGAAACCAGCACAAGTTTATCTTCCTGCAGCACAATCACAGCAGCGCTTGGCTGAACAGACCTATCCTTAGCAGCTTTCGCTTTGCTCCCCCCCGCAAGTCACCCAAATGGTATTTCCTACTGGATAGGACATAAAGGCACTGTCAGAGAAAGACATACTTAAGCCAAACAGGCTACAGCTGCCTGAGAACATGCAGTAAGAAGCTGTCATTCTTTTGCACCACCATCCATCAGTCACCACTACTATTCGTCAGGCATAACAGCAACTGTCGTTACAGTAGAATATTGTCACAGCATCGGTGTCACTCAATTTGCTTGCAAGTGTGCTGTGGCACTTATTTTTGACGTATCACGAAAGTGCCAGGGTAAAGCAGAGAGAAGGGGGTACGACTATTCCACTGACATCATCTCTGAAATGCAACTGTCGCAAGCCACCGTATAAACCTTTATCATTTTTGAAGTGACAAAAGCCAGAAAGTGTTTTGAAAATAATGCTAATGTTTCTGAATTAAGTTTTATAGACTATAAAAACTAATGGGGAAGAAAAATTATTTGGTCAGTCTTCTACATGTACGTATCATAAAAACTATAGATCTAACCCTAAAAACGTTTGGTAAAAGGAGGCGAAAAAAGGGGGAGAAAAATCTAAATTCAGATTTTGACTGGAGTTCATAAGAGGATAAATATGCAGTAGTTTCACTGAAGTTAAGTTATTCACAATTTAAAATTGGCAACAATAGGATTTCAATTTGGTCTTCTGTCTCAGAATGTCCTTTTTTTTTCCTCCCAAGCAATAAACATCAAACAAATCCTATTAATTTAAATGGATATGCCAACCTACTCAGATGATGTGTGTTTACGGGATTTTTAACAAAGACACCAGTGTTATGGTTTTTTTCCTTTGGGCTTTTAAAAATATGTGACAATGCTCAAAAAGACTATCTCAAAAAATTTACTTATTTAGCGCATCTTTAACATACTTTCACCTTCACAGAAAAAAAAGTAGCAATAGCCTGATTCTGCTTACAAGTGCATCATCTTGTGTGAGCAAAGCACAAGTAAACTTGGTTAGAAAGTGTATGCTTACACCCACATTGACAGGACAGACAAATACAGAAAAAAGCTAATCTAAAATGTAAATGTTCACTTTAAACCACTTTGAACTGAGTTATTGGGAAAAGCTGCATAAGGAAAATGACTCCAGTCTGACTTGCCGTATATCAGAATTACTCACAGATCCAGTTATACGAGAAGTTTATTATTGTCTTAACCATAAAAAGATATGTAAAAGGGTTGAACATAAGCTTATGCCCTGCGTAATTCTTAGCAGGCCAGAGCAAAATTGGACAATATATGAGTGCAGATTTACCAGGGAGATCCAGGGATTTTTACCCCAGCGCAGCAATGCAGCTTCTCAGTAGCCCCTCAACCCCATATATCGATTAGCAAGAATGAAAAGGGAGATGGTGTGTCATGCAAAGCTGTATATCTTCCCGCAGCACTGCGTCACGAGCCTGCACTGTTGCTTAATCAATCCACACTTAGTATACAGCCATCACATATGCAGAACGAATATTGTGCTTTTTAAAATAATTCCATTTTTTGTAAACGACCATTATTAACCAAGGAATACACAAACAGAGAAATAAATTACATCATCAGACTTTAAAATGTATTTGACTGCTTTCTCCATTTCTCCTTCAACATGACTCCACTGAGCAGAGAGTTAGTCATCAGCATCATGCATTGGAACTAAAATCAGCTACAGGCTGAAACACCTAATATTTTAATTCCGTCTTCAGGATCAATATGCAAATTCATTCTTCAAAACAGTTTTTTCTCCTCACATGGCAATGCAATTGCTCATAGTATCTTTGGCTGCTCTCAGTAAGTTGATGTTACGTCCTTCAGTGCACCTGCATTCTCTTCTTCCTCAGGTACTGTGGGATGGCACTTGGTGACAGTGACACGTCTGCCTGCCTTGCTGTCACCCTTGGCTCCCGACTTGTCTCCCCCTGTGAAGCAGCCCACTCTTGCTACCACCTAACAGAAACTTTGAAACTAGTTGCCTAGATTAAGTGTTATTCGAATCCTTTTTGGAAATTCTGGAATGGGACATTTACCCGTTAGCGGTAATAATGCAGTCTATTAAGTTACTGATGGAAATCAGACAATGAACAAATCGGAAAAAGAATCGTACAAAATTTTTAGAAAAATGATACAGACATTTTTTTCTCTTGCAATTTTTTATTAGATTACCAGAGGCTCCAAAAATTGCATACGCTTATTCAGTTTTCATAACTGCTATGTAACAAAGACCAAATTCTGTATGCATCACATCAAAATCAACAGATAGTTGAGGCTCTGCAGCAACAAAGAGCTAGCGTATCCTTACCTCTCTTATGGTCAATAACAAAGTTTCCTTTTTGATTCCCAGATAGAATATCATATATTATGCCATCTCCATCAGGATCAACAGCATTAACTGTAGCAACCAGTGTATTTGGGCCTGCATCTTCAGAAACAAAACTCCTGTAGCTGTCAAAAGAAAATATGACAACATATTTACAAATTTAGACAGAAAATATATACACACAACTACATTCTACAATATCTACTGACATTTACTGACTATCTGTACAAAGGGTACTGCAGAGGTTTATAACTTTTTGAGTAATGCAATTACACTTACAAACTTTGTTAGCCAATGAAACGATATTCTTCCATCCATGTCTTTCTGTTGTCACCTCCTATAGATTTCCATTGCATACTCTCAGGAATACTGAAGCTTTGATGCTTACCTTCACAACAAGACTTGGGCTATATGCGGAATTCACCATTTTATTTTAAATAAGCGAGATACATAATTCATAGAATCAAAGAAAACATTTGCCAACTTTAAAAATACTGGTTGTTGTTGCATACTTTCTGACATAAGTTGTCAAAATGCTTTCAGTGTAGTCTGCGGATTTGCACCAGTACAACTAAGATGAGAATCAGTTCTGGAGGATATATGCACAATGTCAGTTTAAAAACATCTGTTCTCAAGACCAGACACATCACTCACATTGTAAGCTCTTAAGAGGCATTATCAGCCTAAGCTTAACGCTTTCTGGAGTAGAAAAGCCTCCTGCTTTAGCAAAATCCCAAATATGTATTATTTTATCCGACTGGATTGGGCATAGGCCAGGCTAAGCATGCCACACATCTGTACACAGTAGATATCCCAAAGCCATAAGAATGAACTACAGCTGGCTGTACCCAGCAATATAAATTAAATTCATGTATATCATTGTTTCAGAGTGCTCAAGTCTGCTTATGAACTCGCTCCTCTTATTTCATTGTGAATATAGTCAAAGTGACCACAGCTGTTAGACGAAATCAGTTACTTTTGCACCTCCACACCATTATGCTGAGATTGGTATAAAATTCCAAGATAAAGAAAACAGATACACAGAAAACCTCTCCCTTAAGTTTTGCTGTCCAGATGTGTGTGTTTTCATTGGAACTTCTGTAGAGACAGCTTTTTTTCTCCCCCAATTTAATATGCAATGAAATAAGATAACTAAATTATTCTGGTTTAGCTCAGTTGGAACCCTCTGGACACTGTCTTATCTCTGTATCAGGGAGATAAATGAACTGAAATTCTGAAAGTTTAATATAGGGACAGAAAAGTTCAAGTCACCAGAAGAGGTCTCCTAGAAAGGAGAAACTAAAAACTGTCAAAATGAGATAAAAATGGTAGCCTTAGAATTTCATAACTGAGATACAGGATCACTGCGATGAAAGAAAGCTCATGGAGAGGAATCATGGGAGTTTATACTGGACTGTAAATCTATTTAAACAAAGGGCTGAAAGTATCATCAACTTGATTTGCATTAGCCTACCACTGAGCACAACATTAACTGCAGATTAGTCTCTCAACAGTAGACAATTTACAGGTGATCATGATGAGGCTATCTCACAGAAAACTTGAGCTAACACCTGCCTGAAGTTTATCTTTGGATTCAGGATTTTACCATCATGGGATAGATAAAGCAAAATCAAAGCCTTGTTAACGTGGTTAAACAAGAACTCGAGAGAAGACCTTGGAAGAAAACAAAGAGGACAAGGTCCAAATGCCTTAGGATTTACGGGTCATCGGCATGCAAAGTGGTGAGTCTTTGGGTAATATCAGGAAGCGTGATTTGTACTGGTCCAGATTCTAATCTAGGCTGCAAGAGTCTGAACCTCACTGATTCAAATAAAAATTGCAGGCGTCCTCTGTGAGACAAATGTAGTTCCAGCACTGTATATGTATATTGGAACTTGTATCGCATAGGTAACAGAAAAGAGCCACAATCCACATACTGGATAGCAATATAAGCTATGCATTCTGTGTACAGGAAACAACTATTTAAGACATAGCAGTAACTGGAATTTCTAGCAACACGCTGTTTGTTTATATAGAAACTAACAATGAGATCTTCCAGTCAAAGATCCTGACTAGTAGAGTGAATGAATGGAAGATCATTAATTTGTAGGCTACCACAGCTATTTCATTTCCAATTAATCTAAACCTAATTGGAAGCACATATTGGAAAAAAAGTGCAAGGTCTGCTAAACAAGATTATCTATAATACCAACCCTATCTATTTAGAGCTGGGAGTCCTACTACCGATTGAAACCGGGTCTAAACTTTACAACGACAAAGCCAACTGAAAGCCCTTTTTTTACTGGTAAAAAAGTCGCAGAGTTAAAAGACCATGCATTTGTCAGTCTAACCCCATTAACTTGAATGAACCTAAACCAGTGAACATCGGATAATGATCACCCTTCTAATCAAAATAAAAAAGCAACAGTAAAGAACAAAGATAACAGAGTTTTAAAAATATGTATTTACATTGCCTGGGAAAACTCAGGTGCTTCATCATTCACATTTGAAATATGGATCCTAACAGTTGTTGTCCCAGTCTTGGGCTCTTCCCCTTTATCTACAGCCATAATTATGAACTCATAAAGATGGTCAGGCCGCTCGTAGTCCAGTTCTTTTGCTGGAAAAACAGTACCATGAGAAGTAACACTAAAATCTGGACTCAAAGTGTAATACAGTATTTCAGCGTTCTCCTTTGTATCGCAGTCAGTGGCTCTTACTGTCATTAAAAGAGAGAGAGAGAGACATTTTCTAGATCAAAGTCTATGAATTGAAATGCTAAGTACTTTAACAACAGAGCTAATGAATAATATAAACACTAGTAGTATTTGCCTTGGCATGCGGTGCCTGAAATAATTTATGAAATTATGTTATATCCTATGCTTTTTGACTAACCCTTATCTGAAAAGAAGCTATAAAGAAAAATCTTAAGTCCCTGGTTGAATAGACAGATCTTGCCTTTATCTGCTGGATCTAAGGAGCCTCGTACTACCAAAAATATATTCCCACACAGAGCCATAGAGTCTCATGTCCACCTGATACATACTGCTGACTTAAATTCACTTTGAGAGATTAGACCCTGTGTGATTACATATGAAATTATATTTACACGCATTGTTTGATACTTATGCAAGTGAAATTAATGTGTTTGTCAGCTTCTACCCATAACCTACCAAAAAACACGCTAAAAACTCAGTCATCATCATAATAATTGATAGACTAACATTACCATGGAATAACAGTAGATAGCATTTCATAACCTCATACTAGGAATCAATAATTTTCCTGTAGTCTAAATTTCCTTTTTCCTCAAGATTTACAATAAGTTTACATAATGGTTAATGACTAATAAGGCCCTTTTGCAACTGTATAATTGTCCAAAGTTTTATTGACAGAACCTGCTCGTATCCTTATAAATACTCTCAATACATGATTTTTGTATTTTAAGTACGATACAAAGCATTGTCATTTAAAGCTTAAGTTATTGGTTGTACTAGGAAGAAGCCAAATCTTGCTCTCCTGCATCCAGACTAAACCTCACATACAACCTCACTTAACCCACACAAGAAGCTTTTTACACAAAAAAAGGCAGTATTCCCTATTGCGAGCACACACAGACCTCTTAAATATGGGCAGAGAAGGGGAGCTGACATCTCCACAATTTCTGATCCAACATCATTTTCTTCCTTCAAAAAGAGGAATGCTGGATCATTACTACGAGCCTACTGATATAATGCAATCACATTTGAAGTCCTCTTACTTCAAAACCCTACAGAGAAAATTAGTTTCCATCCTCTGCTCTCCCCTTCCAAGATCATTTCAGCAGTGACAGCAGTAAATGCTTATGATCTAATTCTACAGGTGCCAAATGATTTGACAGAATTATAATTACCTCATCCTGGGCTGGATAGTTTTGGCTTCCGAGATGAGTTATAATTTGTGAAAGAAAATAATACTCCTACTGAATGTAACAAATAACTTTAAAAGTATTAACCTTGTAGAAGGGCAGTGGTCATAGGAACTGTTTCAGGAACATTATCTTTGCTGTAAATCAACTGTTGGAATTCTGGGGCACAATCATTCACGTCTGTGATTACAATTAAAACCTGAATGGAAAAGAACAGAACATTAAATGATATCAAAGCGGACCAAGGGAATGCCTTCACTGTTGATGAAATACTGGATGGAAGGATTTGCCAAAAAACAATATCCTTGAGGATTTCAGAAGCCATAGCACATAGGAGAAGCTGTCATTTTTAGAATGGTCTTTTCCTGCTCAGAATTGTTTACGTTATATTCCAAAAATATTAGAAAATGCCAAGTTCCAGTCCCTTACAGCAATATTTTACATTCCCCCTTCATCTCCATTGATTATTTCCTATTATTAATTGAAAGGGAAATGGACTGTCTGCTTTCCAAGCCCCCTTTTTTCATTATCATGTCTTCCAATCCATCCATCATTTGTAAAACTACAAATCCGATTGCCAAGTATGCAACATTTTTATCATATAAATCTGCCAAGACCAAGTTCTGAATTCAATTATAACAGCGTAACGTAGAAGTAACTGCAATGGAACTGATTACACTAACACAAATAAGAAACAATTCCTGTTTCTAACCTTATTAAACATGTTTTCTTATTCTTACATTAATTGACTGCACAGCTGCATTGTTTCAAAGCAAACAGCAAGGAGTTTGTTAAATTAGCCTTTATGGTGGACCATACTGCTATGCTTGAGACAGTCGGAGGTCGTCTAGAGTATTCTAGCATCACAATGCAATAGGTAGACTAATACTCAATTTCCTCTTACCTTGGTTACTATAAACTGGGAGTTGCTCTCTCATAACTGCTAAAGTTGTATCAGTGTAAAGCAGGTACAAGAAAAACTAGATTTAGGCTAAATATATTGGCAGAAACCGTCTCATAATTTTCTTTCAAGTTACGCTCTACTACTCCTCTTCCTGTGGTACATAAAAGGGTACCACATTATCAGTCAGTGGTGTGCTACAGCCAGTTTGTTACACCAACACACTGTTTCAATGTTTCTCTGTGTCCTTCCACTTCTTCCTCATCCTACCTCCTGTTCCTCCTGCATGATACTCCTACTTCCTGCAGCAGCAATGAAGTACTATATCGCATGCATTTTCTAGCTCAGTGAATCCCTGGAGTCAAACAACTGTAATAACTACATTTAACAGTATTTTGGCCATCAAACAGCATTCTAAAACACCAAGAACCCTCACCTTTCAATACCTGTGAGTTTTTATCACTTCCTGTCTTTACAGGTTCACTTTGTATTCTTGAAACTAAAGAAATCACTATGCTCATATTTTGTTTCCTTTTTGTTTTAAATTGGAATAATCCCAAATATACATCTCACTTTATGATGGTTTAGAATAAGACAAAACCTCATGTTTGGCTTGGCAGCATCTTTTACCATATCTTCCCCGACAAGGTGTAGGACCTATGATGGGATGGCATATCGATCCCTCAAAAACAGCCTCTTCAGGATCAGCAAGAATAAACTCTAAGAGTACTTAATCCAGCCCTTTTCATCTACACAGAGGATCCAAAGACTTTTAATATGGATAGCAGAACAGATAGCATGATCGGGGCAAATGAAAACCACTACTGTATCTATACAGGAATCTGGAAAACTGAAGGAAACTGAGGAAAGGAAGAAAATCCATACAGAATGCTAGAAGTGAATGCTTACTTCAGCTGCGCTACTGAGCTGCTCCTCGTTTTCTTCGGCTCTGACCAAAAGAAGATACTGGTGTTGGTCACTCTCATAATCCACACTCTGAATTAAGCTGATATCTCCTGTTGTCTGATCAATGCTGAAAAGACCACTAGGATTAGTTAATAAACTGTAGCTCAAGGATTTCTTCTGATATGATATAGCAGAGACTGTAAGAAACCTGCATGAAAATTAAAAAAAAAAAAAAAAAGTGTCTCTTAAGCTTGTAATATAACTCACTGAAAAATATGGCAAAAAACAAACCAAAACACGCTACATGAGTCCTGAAAGTGCAGTCCTGTAGTTTGAACATTTAGTTATACGATACTTCTGTCACCTTGAGGTGAAAAATACAATGTTAGACTCCTTGGAAGCAGACTACAGTAAAGGATTAAAAACCTAGAAATAGAGGATTTTATTTTTGCTGCAATTGAATTTGCATTTCTGATTTGAATTTTTAATTTTCTTACAAGGGGGCAACCATTTTCAGGTAAGAAACCAAGAGATAAAACAAGTTCCAAAAGACTCGTTTTAATACTGGAATGGTAAGTTTGCTGTTCCAATCATTCTATCTGAATATTTCCAGAGGCAATTGCAAAAGGATAAAAGCCAGTCAGTATACAGTGTACAAGCTACACAGCATACAGGACCTATGTGTTTACACCTTGTCTGGCATTATCTTGTTTCCACTGAAATTTACCAAGTCTTCATGTGGGAAGAGCACCACAATATTAACTTGCAGAAAGAAATTACAGAAGAAATATTTTTAAAAGGTTTAAAATGTAACACTCATTCCTCAACAGCTTGTTGCCTTATCTTACAAGCTTTGCACAAAAAAAGATTCTCATTCTCCCCGGAGAACCCAGCAACACAGAGGATCCAATCACAGCTGCAATCAAACAGACAAAAGCCAACTTGTCTGACCACCTTTTTTCCCCTTTCTATTTCCAGGCTGCTGTCTTCCAGCTTCTCTCAGGTACAACACTGAAACACTGCAATGCTGCCAAAGGCTGCCATAGGTCATTATTTCGCTTTATTCTTTTTTTTTTGTGCGTTTTCCAAACTATGATGTGGTCTCACAGTCAGCTGAATCTAGAATAAGACTGTTCCAGGCAACAGGAATTATTTTGCCCTCCTCTCACTCCCTACCGTGGCTGCACGTTCATGCCGCTTCTTCTGTCAGCACTAACAGTCGTAGGGCCTGCTGTGAGCTAGTTTAACAATCCAGCAGAAAACTCTCTTCTCTTTTTTCGCTAGGGTAGCTTTTCATTGAATCCACGTGCCAAGCGAACTAGCATATTAGAGCTAGTGCCGGATCAAAGGAAAAGGCAGAAAGATTTGGTAACACCCTTTTTTGTCAGCAGCAATCGTAGATCAGGCTTCAGCAGTGAAATTATAACCCCAGAAATCCAGTACGTGACAGGGACTGTTTTCCTGTGCACTGGTGTAACTGGTCAAATTTAAATATTAGAACTTAGGGATTCTACTGTGATGTTCATTACTACTGCTGGTTAACACACGATAATAATTCACTTTCACTGGGAAGGCTTTGCTTATATTCAAGCTTCTTGCATCATAAAAACCACCTCATTAAATATTTCATGCCCTTTGGATATTATCAAGTAATTTGACAAATTGACCAGTTTACTATTATCTTAGTTGTACCAAACTATTTTTAAATAGTAACAAAAAAATAGTTACAAAGAATGCCATTATTTTTTAATCCTACAGATTGTTGAATCCAAGGGAGCTTTCCTTCTAATAAGTATTTGTAGTGTTCCACAATTCTTAGATTTCTCTTATGCTTGTTTACTGCAGTTTATAAAAAAAAAAAAAGTTATCTGCTATTAACAGTTGTTAATTTTTTATCTTAATGGGCCTTGGTTACTCAGATGCTGCAAAACTGAGTGCTATAGATTGAATAGTAAAGTACAATACTACAGATAACATAGCATGAACAACAGTTGAATGACAATACAAGAAATAAGCTTACTGGACAAAAGTATTTTTGATTCAACTGGAAATGTTTGGCCCCAAAATGAAACAGTTTGGCAAAGACGGAACTGACTAGACAGCTGAACTTACATTATTTACATTTTCTGCAATATTGAGATCCACGTGGTTAGACAATAGACTAGAAAACTAAAATGACAAAGTTTGTGGCACCCTTATTTTTCCTCAGTTTGTCACTGTGATTGACGTAAGCAGCAAACATCGTATTTCGTTTTTTCTGATATTCACTTGATGGAGCAGACACTTTTCCAAACATTGACACACAACATTCACATGTTCTTTCACACCAGGATATTTTATTTCATGATATAATGCTTCTAATTTGTATTCTGCACTTCATTTGAATATAAAGACACTATCAATACCTGCTATTATTTTGCTTATCAGCTAAAAACCAAGAAACCGTAATTATTCACAACCACTTTTCTGTATAAAATGGTGACTGAAACATACATTACCACACTCTATTTTAATCATTTCTTCTATTAAGATATCTAAATTGCTAATCACAACACCTATTTGGGATTCACAAACAAGAGAGGGGTTTCGGGGAGGTGAAACCAGCAACATGAAACAAATTAGGAACACAGTTTCACTGCATTATTTTTAACGGGTACTTACGATTTTCCTTGTGGCATACTTTCAGGAACATAAGCAATGTATGATACATTGGCAAACTGTGGTGGTCGAAGTCCAGCAATTATAGAAACAGAGGCTGGAGACCCTTTACTTCCAAGTTTATCTGCTGCTAGTACAGTCAGTAAGTACTCTCTGTCCTTCACCAATGGCAAACCTGTTGTTTTAATCCAGCCAGTGTCCTTCTCAATTTCAAATCTGCCTTCTCCACCTAAGAAGAACAGGTCCACACATTGTTGTCAGCAAGAATATTTTTATTTGATTAAAATTGAGGGGAGAATAGGGTGTCCATTTCCAAGTTGTTTTTGGCTTAGAATTAACATGCACAAAAAAATCCTAAGTTTGTTTAGAACCTGCTAATTACATTTATGATCACATTTCTAAGCTACGTTTTACTTTTCTGGATGGTTACTGTCTTCCTTATCCTCCAATCCATTGCTGTTATTTGACCCTATATAAATATATATATATATATACACACACACATATATATATACACACATACACACACACATATATATATACACACACACACACACACACATATATATATATACACACACACACACACACACACACACATATATATATACACACACACACACATATAAAATCCCACACCAGAAAAAAATCCTGTTACCGTCCTAGCCATAAGGAACAAATTCACCCCTGGAATGGTATTGCTGCACCCTTTCTGTCGAGTATAGACAGTCTTAAACTATTACGGAAGTTTTTGTGGTTTTATTTTGTTTTTCTCTTTCGAGGCCCACAAACAAAGTTACTAGTGAATCTGTACTAGCTTTAGTCAGCTAAGGCACAACCCAGACCCTTTAAGTTATGAATGAACAAGAAGCATGACTCCTGTGAGGGAGAAAGAATATCAGCTCCTTCCACCCAAGACACACTGTGCTCCACATAATACTGTCTCATAAACAGGCAGCCCTGCTGGAAGACTCCGACAAAGGCTGCCAGTGGCAGCCCCTTGCCACAGCCCTGGAAAGTGCTGCCCACCTCGTGTTGCCATTACCCTCACTAGGTGAGGATCTGGGCAGGAACCCAACTTTGAGGAGAAAACACAATTCAAACCTGGCAAATCTCTCTGTACCCTCACTAAAAGTTGATTTTTGCACGTACAAAACTGAAGGTTTACAAACCTTCCTCAGGAGGAAAGGAAGGTCATTCACTGAAGCATAAGGAGGAAAAAGTCACAGAAGTGAAGCTTAACAAGGACGCAATGGATTTTAAGGATTTTAATTTACCTTCCAGGAGAAAGTATTCTACTGCTCCATGGATCCCTTCATCTGCATCCAGAGCAAGCAGCTTGTACACTTCAGTACCTACTGCAGCTTGAGGAGAAACCACAGCCAAGAAGGGGAAGGGTTCCATGGCCCATTCAGGTACGTTGTCATTCACATCTGTCACAGTAAGTGTTAAGTGCAGCAAGTACCAGTCCTTTCCTAATGGTAAGAGAAAAATGAAGAAATATTTAGCCGAGTACTTGATAGCACTTGGAGTGACAGAAACATAAATCAATTCCTGAATTTGTATTGTCTGCAATGTTATTGACATGTAATCCAGAAAAACTTAACTTTTTAGGATCTTCTCCTGCAATCGACAGCATCCAGATACAATGGGGAAAAAAAAGAAACTGCACAAGTACTGTCAAACCGCAAGATCAAGGCTACTCATATTGCAGTTCTACCAGTAACTTTTTCTAGGAATGATCACATATTTAATTTTCAAAGTTGAAACAAATGTTTCCTGAAATGTTTTTTGCTAAAGAAAAAAATATATTTTGTTTACACACACATAAAAGCAATTCTGAATTCTGAAACCTATAAATCTTTTTCATCAAAAAAGTATAATCAATCTACTAACCAATTTTGCTAGTTAGAAAGCTCAAGAAAGTTCTAATAGTTTTCATTTCTACTACAAATGAAATGCTGCTAAAAAAAAAAAAATAGAATGGATCTAGTCAAATTTTCCATAAATTGGCAACAGAAAATTCTTAAAAATTGTTATGCTTCTACCAGTATTCAACTAACCAACGAGGACAACAGACCTCCTAAACAAGTAATAAATATCAAGCAGGCATTGCTGAAAGCGACAAAAACAAAAGCGTCAGTTTTAAGAAACTGTTCTGAAATCTCCAGGACTGGAGTCAAGGATTGATATAAATATCCCATGTGAAAAATGTTTCTGAACACAAGACTGAAGGATGGGATTAAAAACTTTGAGTTCCAAAGACAGCAAAAAGATACTGCAGACAGAAAGCCTTTTTCTCTAGGTACTCCGGACTAACTCTCTATATACTTTTAACTGATAAACGCTTGTTTCAAATGCACAGAGCTAGCTTGGGTTTTGGAGCAACTTAGCTGTGCTTACACAAGGCTGTGACAAAGCAAGTATCTTTTTTATAATCAGTAATGCCACAGAGCAGAGAATAAATATACTTCAGCCTCTTAGCCAGCCTGGGTGCAAGTGGACAGGCACTAGACTTGTAAAAAGTTTGGCTACAAAAGCTAAGTGGACACACACATTGTATATGCACACACATTTACCTTCAAAAGAGCTTTACAAAAATTTGAACAATATGCCTACAGAAAGGAACGTCTAAAATTGTGAATTTAATTTAATGTTAATTAATAATAAAGTGCTTAGTATTTAGGGCTCTAAATATCAAGTGTTGCCAAAACGTCTGAACAGTGTAATCTTGCTCAGGAGGAATACTATCCCAGGAACGTAGGCCACTTAGGCTGGAACAACTGCACTCTGTCTTCCTCTCCTCTTTCTTAATTGCAGCATTATATCCCTCTGCAGAAGAACATCAATGTCTCAACTAAAATACATAACTTGCGTCTGATGTATGTTTCCATTGCTGTTGTCCCTTCACTCCCACAGCAGTCCTAAAACATCTTGCACGTCATAGTCCTCTGCAAATTTCAGCTTTATATAATTAGTAAATTCTGTTTGATAGCAAGTGGCACATTTAGTACACCCAATCATAATCTGCAATCTATAAACAACCAGTAAGTGGATTGTGGTAAAGAAAACGCCTTGGTGCTGTGATTAACAATGTCAAATGTTTCTTAGTTTAGCTTCAAGAAGCTTAATCCATCATGACCTTTGAGTACTTTCTGTTCTTACCGAGACAACTCTCTTAATATAAAAATAAGTACTCACACAAGATAATCACAGAAGATCTCCGCAACTTGTAAAACTGCATTAAATGCATCTCAGTTTTTCAGTTGTACTAAGAATACATCACTTGTTTTCTTTCTCAAAAGAGCAAAAGAAAATGGATAGATGTTAACTTCTTAATTCCAAAAAAAGTCTTTCATAATTATATCCTATACTCAGAATCTAGCGTTCTAGGGAATACGATACTAGCTCAAAATAGCATGTAGGAGAAAGAAGTGTCTGCAACAATGACAACTTTCTGGAAAGGTAAGTCACGGGAACGCTCAGTCTCCTGAAAGAAAAGCCTGAAACATTCCTTGCAGCATTGCAAAACATGAATACATGTGACATACATGTTTTTACATTTTCACTGAAAAAAAGCTCTCGGTTACCGTGGTCATCCAAGTCTCTCAAACTCTTCTAGATTCTTACTGAGACAAACTGTGTGTGTGTATGTATTGCACTTCCAGAATCAGAAGTACTGGGAGGCCTGGTGTAAGGATGCTCAATTTGGCTTTTCTAGCATATCATGTTGCATGTGAAGCCCAAGTTTTCAAATAGAAACTCATATTGTTTCACTATGAAACCGACATTGAGGTGAGAGAATTATAACCCAGCTTAACCCTACACTGTGCTGGTATCGTGCCTAGAAAGAATCTTCTTCAACATTTAGAGAGATTGTGAAAGCAGCTGCATACTTTCTCCTCTTTGCTTGCAGATGCTGTTAAAATACGTGTATCATAAAAGAAGCCAGAAGGGGAATCGAAAAAGCTCTCAAAACTTGGATGCGAAAAGCAACAGCATGGGTAATGTTATTTCCCACACCCTAAGACATAAAACCAGATGTGTTTCAAAGAGGACAAGGTCAGAATGTGCATTCCAGGAGTTCCACGGCAGCCACTCCGAGACACCCGGGGAAACCACGGAGAAAGGGATTTGTTATATGTTGATCTGTGTCTAAGGTTGAACTACATCAAGATGACCCAAAACAGCAAAAGTTCTAAGTGAGAAGTGACAAATGAGATCAGTGTCTGCTTGAATGTTTCAGAGATTTTAGTGAAAAGGTTATTCAAAAGAGTAAATACAAAAGGGACAAGGTGGTGTCGAACTTGCCTGACATTTCTCTGAAGAACAGATCTTGTGGAAGCTGTCACAAGTTTTTAAATACATCGCTGTTACCTTATTTTGTCAGGGCATACTGCACGCTGAAAATAGCGAGCACTAAAATAGAAGCTGAGTTAAGATCCTTTGAAAACCTGCCTCTATAAAAGCAAGATCTATTGAGGATTTGGGTGTCAATCTTGTGAACCCTGTGTCAGGAATAGAAAGGTTACTGATTTTTGCCCTTCTGGAGTCTGGAAATCAGTATCTTAATCAACCAGTGAACTTATTCTATTTCAAGTTCTGCTAAAGTTCTTAACATTCATATATAGAAAAATAAATAATAATTGTAGAATAAATGTTGCTTATATTGGACAAGGAGTAATAAACCTGGATGCAAATTCCACTCTTGTCACTTACTGATTTTCCATTCACTGAACATTAATATACTGGTACCTAGTGCATAACTATAACTGAGAAATACTTCTTTTAAGGAAACTGGAAAACTGCATCAGGGCTGACATTAAACCTCACATGTCCTCGCAAATTCTTTTCATCAAAAACCAAAACGGCTTGGACATGTTCCTCCACTTGTGTCTTAACAGTTAAAGGACCTTAATGTCATTTGACATCTTGGCAAATACCAAAGCGTTCAGCAATATGTTGGTTACCTCCAAATATCTGAATGCTCCAAGAACTTTGTTAGGATAGTCAGCATAAATTGTAATGCATGCACATAATCAAAGAGACAGGCAGAAGTGCCTCTCCTGACCAGTACATATATCCATTGCATATGACCTTGTAGATCCTATTGGTATGTTATCTTCTGCCATCAACTGTAGGCAATCTGATTCACAAGCAAAAATACTAAATAAGTTATCATGATTAGATATGATTTAGCTTTTAGATAAAGGCAGTTTAGAAGAAAAAAATTACAAAAAGTAAAGTTTTCCATTGACTGTGTACCATATATCAAAGCACAAACTATAACAGAAATATCATATCGAAATATACTTTTTTGCATCCAGACCCACAAATGTGACCTGACAACTTGTAGAAAAAACATCAGGGCGTTCAATGAAGCATGATCAGAGAAGGACTCGCCAGAGGACAATGAATGTGATGAAGAGACTGACATGGACAATAATGTGTAATATGTATGTCCAGCAGGACAACACATCAAGAATTTCAAAGTATACACATACAAATGTGATTTTTAAAAATATAATTCCACTTTCTAATGACTGCAGCAGATATTTAAAACCCTTCCGTTTGCTGTAGTTGTCGTAACACATATTACAAAATACAGTCTCTTATTTTTTGTAACTAACAATTGTTTTCTGACAGAACGTAGCTTAAACCAGACCTTTATATGATTTTAAATAGGGTGATAAAATTTGCTTTCTTTCTCACAAGGTGGTCAGACACTGTTATTTATCAAACTGACGTGTACTTCAAGACAGTAGAAGGAAGCAAGTTTTAGAAAGCTACATTTCTTGATGGTTTAAGGTGTCTAGATGCCTCCTTCCACCAAAACACACAACACAACTAACAGTTGTATCAGTTATACAAGTACATTATAATATTAATAGCATATTAATAGTTGTAGTACATACAATAGTAGTAGTTATTGTAGTATTATTATACACCTGCATTAGTATATAATGATTAGTAGCAGTTCATGAGTAGTATATAAGTAGTACATATGAGTACTACTACTACTTATAGGAGGAGTAATGTTATAACCATTCCACTCAAAATCTGAGCATTTGTTTAAAACAGGTAACGTTATTTATTTGGGTTAAATCCTACAAACATACAGATAGCTTCTACTTAACGCATCTATTCAAAATACTAGCCCCTGACAGCAAGTGGGCATACCTGCAACTATATGACAGGTAAGTCAACCCATACTGAGATCCTGTATTAGGAATCAGATACAGGTCGAATTCTCCCTAAAAGAATTTTCAAATTGTTTTATAACATACTGCCAATAAGAATTAAGAATTTCTCAGTATTAAACACTAAACGCTTGACTTTCAAGACAGGCACATTACCAATATCTAACAACCTCGTCCATTGAAAAAAAAATCCTACCAAAAAAATAGTCCCGATTATATAGTTGGTACAC